TTCGGACTTGATTCGATGGTCAAATTACAAAAGTAAATAGACCAACTTATTCTACTCGTCAAGTAAATCGTCGTAGTATATTTGAAATCTTCTGGATGAATGAGAAATTGCAGTCCAAAATTGGAAGAAATGAAGTATTGCAACTTTTCGAAACGATGCAGGTTTTGACCCACACTACTTCATTTGCACCATTTCTACATCTATAAATAGGACTCTATGGACGTGGTTTTGAGTACCATTGCATTGAGCATCCATTCTTCCCTGGCAATTCATCTTTCTCTCATTTTCATAACATTTCTTTGTAGAGGGAAAATTCAGTCGAAGTTTCGCCGTTCTTGTAGTTTGAAGTGCTGCTACCACAAGTATGTATCTGTTGTATCTTGAGAGACATTTTTCATTCAACCGTGATCTCCGTAGCGGACAATTTATCTTAAGAAAATAGTTATACTGGCCTTGAATTTCTTTTTTTACTCCTTATTTCATTTTGGTTTTGTGTGGTTGTTTTAGTTATATACTTTGTGTCTTTATATTCTGTTCTAATTATGCTCCTGTGGGTTAAAACTTTTGCTTACAATAATAGTGTTTCGATTACGTTCCTGCGGGTTGAAACTTTGTTCATTTACATTATACAACCATTATACAGCTAAAATAAATACTCGAAACAGCAGAAAGTTGATACTCAACCTTCAATTTAGTTGTATGATCTGCCACCACCAACAAATACTGTCCAACTTTCTCTTCAATTATTGTGTGACTCTTGCATTTCCAACTTTTGAAGGCAGTTTTTATAAATTTGGATGAATCTAGAAATTTTAAGTGAGATATGTTTTCCAGGAGGTCACATGACGACTTTACAAATTTAACGATTTGTCAAGATAGATTATGCAACTATAATAAAGATATAGTTGAAAACCAACGTACTGTTCAAATAATAAGATGGGGACTATAAGTGGACATTATACATTTATTTATAGCATCTTTACTTAAATTATCTATGGTAAATTAAAGGTAAAACCTCAATTTGGATGCACTTGAATAAAATTGGTAAGAAATTGGAGCTTAATTATGATTGATTCGGAGCAATCAAATTGCAAGTGATCAATTAGAAGTATTAAGAGGTGAATCACAAGTTTCGGGAGTTAAATTCAATAATTGAAAAGTTTGAGAACTACGTATCAAACTTTTAAAACTAGTATCTGATCGATAATTAATGATTTTGGAATGTGGATGACTAAATATGAAGAATTAAAGTTGAAGAACTTTCCATGAACTATTTGAGGATATGAAAAGAACCAAAACTATGATTTATGTACCAAAATGAACAGAATAAAAGTTCAGGAGTGCTCTACAAATGGTGTGATCGCTCGGTGTAACAAAGTTGGGTACTGCTGCGATCTCACAGACTACTTGGGGATGCAATCGCAAATATGAAAATTTCTGCAACAATGCCCAACTTCGTTACACCGTGCGATCGCACCCAAATAGTGTGATCGAGTTCTATTATGACTCAAATTTCGAATCCAATCACTTTGGGGGTATGGGTTAAGACATAACATTTGGCTCTAAAAATACACATCTCAATCCAACAATTGAAGAAGGCTCGTGGGGATTGATTATACACAAGTTATACAAGTCAAATGAGGCTCATATTTCCTTCATAGAAGAAAGCCCAATAGTAAGCATTTCATCGATAATTTCACACTTTTTCAAGTTTTCGTAGAAGCTTGTTATACAAAACATCCAAACCTATTTTCATATATCTATTTCTTGAAATGAAGAAGAAAAAGAAGAATTATAGGAGAATAAAATAAGTGGCCATTGAAAAGATTCAAAATTTATGAATATTTTCCACTTTCTTTTCAATTATTCAACTTTGGGTGATGTTTTATCAACTATTTTGAATTTTTGTAATTAATTTGATGCTTGACTAATTGTATAGATAGTAGGGTAATGTTGAATACAACTTTTGAAATTTAGATATTTAATTCCATATTTCGACGTTAAAACATGTGTTTGATTTTGAATTGTTGTTAGGTACTTGATGCTTTTAAATTGGTTGACTACCAGTTGAATTATCTTGTGATTTTATCGACATTCAATAAAAGAAATAATAATTTGACGTGTAGTAAAAATAATTGTAAATTTCGATATATGATAGGGATATACTGTTATACTTTACCTAAGGTCTTGTGCATTTTTAATGCTTGTTTGCATCTTTATATCTTTTAAAAAGATATGTAAAGGTCACATGTGATAATATCTTTAATTCTACTGATAGAGATTATAAATCAAATTAGGAACATTGATATTCATATTTGAATATGTGTGTCCAAATCAAGCATTATAAAATTGATGAAAGTAGGAAAATTTGTGATTCATGTATTTGTCAATTGTTCAAGTTTATAAACCCTTTCAACTAATTATATAAATTAGTTAACTTAGTATAAATTTATATTGTTAATATAAAACTCACCCATAACTTATCTTTTTATTTGATTAAAGTTGATGTTAATTGAAACTATTAATTACTTGATTCTTGGAATAATGATATTTTATCATTACTTTATTTATTTACTACGACACCTTGCACTTACTTTCGTCGATCATAGACCAATTATGTAATTTTTTCCTATCAAGTGACTTTTGTTTTTTAAGATATTTTTATCTTTCATCCCAACAATAATATGGCTTGAGAGGTGTAGGCAAATTTATAAATTTTATTATAAGTAAATTTAAGTTCTTTACACAACCATATTTTCTCTATTTTGTTTAGTTCTTCCTAATTCAAAATTTCAATACAAAAAGATTATTTACAATCAAAATTAAATATGTTAATTATTTTATTTTATTTTTTTACGAAAGAATTGATATACGACTTATACCTCCACGACATTTTATCAATATCACATCCTTTTGTGTACGGTCTTGTCAATAATTTACATAAGACAATCCAACTACTTAATTATTTTTATTTTTTTGTTGTTGATTTACATTTTATAGTTAAAAATTGCAACAACAGTTAGTGTTCCTAAATTTTAATACACACACATGAGAATATTGCCGTAGACTATTGTTATAAAATCCAGGTAAGTATTAGTAGGTCATCCAACCCAAGGGTTTCGATTTGATCATCTCAAATAAACAACGTTCTTAGGTTTTGTTTGGTAGCTTGTACTCTTCCACAAGCACATACGTGGATATATGTAGTCCACAAACTTCCAAATTTACAGCATTATTTAAAGCTAATTAATATAGTACTTCTTCACAGCTTTAAAGATCAAAATTGACCAGATTTAGGGGCTGGCATGACGTGGCGTGGGGAATGTGCTATGTTCTAAAAACTTCATCTAAGCATCGCCTAAGCTCGAGGTTTGAGCGAAATGTCACGTCACGTTTTGACAATGAGCGTCTGGCAAGTGGCGCTTTATTAATTTTTTTCTCTTTTACTTCATCTAAGCATCGCCTAAGCTCGAGGTTTGAGCGAAATGTCACGTCACGTTTTGACAATGAGCGTCTGGCAAGTGGCGCTTTATTAATTTTTTTTTTTTTTTTTTTTTGTGAAAATCTTATAGTTGATTTTTATTAATTTTTTTCTCTTTTTTTTTTTTGTGAAAATCTTATAGTTGATTTTAATTTCTAGTTTTTAAACGACTCTATCTAAACAAAAGTAAAAAATGAAAACACATCGGAAAATTTGAAGTGAGAGTTGTCTAGGTAAAAGCTGAGACTTTGAAAAATAGTCTAGCTTTTGTATTTCGAAAACCTAAAAAATTGTATAATTGATTAATTGTAAAAATTATTAAATAAATAGAGTATTTTATAATTTTAGATATTTGATATGTATTATATTTTTAAATAATTTTTAGAATGATTAAAAATTAAAAATAATTTTGACAATAAGAAACGCTTTTTGACGCCTAGGTCTCGCCTAAATTTGCTTAGGCTCGTAAAATTTGAAGCTTGGCTTCCATGTTTGACCACTTTACTCTTTTTAAAATACTAGGAATATGGATATAGAACATATTTGACTTGATAAATTGAACGACATACAAAACAAAATCACGTAAAATATCATCTCTTTCTTTTTTTTCTTTTATAAAAATTTTAGGTACGAGTTTTAGTTACTCGTACAAAACATCACATTCTTGAAAAAATTGAATATGAAGAAAAAGTAGGATTAATATAGCATACTTTGTAAACTCTATATCTACACTAAAATGTTTTGAATAATATTAAAGAAACTAAAATTTCGTCAATTATACTATCCATTATGACGGATGAAACATAGGTATATGGAAATTTTCCACCGCATAAGCCCTCCAAAGAATACCACTTTCTTTTTACATTTTATTTTTGTTTGTGGAGTTGGTGGTTTTTTTCACCTAAACCAAACTCTATTAAACCCATTGATGGATAACTTTGTCTGAATATTTGAATTAAATTTATATTCATCAATGGATTGATGTGTTCCTTCTTCAATGCTAAGCGGCGTAGTATGTCCCTGTTTGAGTCTCATTTTATGGGGAATCAATGTTTTGAATAATGATTTTTTTACAGAACGTGTGGTCAAGAAATAGGAATAAAAAATTAGGTTTACATGTAAATTCATTTTATGAGAGACTATGTTGTTGAAAATGAGTTTTAGTAAAATGGGTTATCGAAAAAAATGGTACTCAAAGAGGGACTTTGTCATTTCTCCATATAATATATGATAAAAAATATGTTTTGGCTAGGTTAGGTAACTTAAGCAACATCTTGTCACTAGCAATTCACGAAATATCCCCTACATTATTGTATGCATGTGTATCTATATATATATATTTTTTTTTGATATCCAGATATCCCAATTTACATCAAACTAAATTCTGAACCTCCAAAATCCATGCCCCTAGAACCTTGGAGGGGGTAACATGTGTATCTATATTATATATAGAGCGAATCGAGTGAGAGAAAAAACAACATTTCTTTGTTCTCACTTCTCAAGCTTTCCCTTTATAGAAATGGAAGATAACAGCATATGGTCCATCTCCAATTCATCAAACATACGAGGATTGCAAAAATACGGCTATACTGCTACTTCTGATAATGATTCATCAGGATATCATGATCACGGGCCGTTCATCAGGGATCAAGATCATCTTCTTCCGATAGCAAATGTTGGTCGAATCATGAAAAAAATACTTCCTCCCAATGCAAAAATCTCTAAAGAAGCTAAAGAAACCATGCAGGAATGTGCATCAGAATTTATCTGTTTTGTTACGGGAGAAGCATCCGATAGATGTCACAAGGAGAAGCGAAAGACAGTTAATGGGGACGACGTTTGTTGGGCGCTCGGGAGTTTAGGATTCGACTATTACGCTGAATCGTTGAAGAGTTTTTTGTATGGATACAGAGAAGCAGCAGGAGAGAAAGTTGATAATAATCAGAATATCAAGGCTGCAGTTTCTTATACTCCATTCAGTTTCAATGTGAACTAGGATAAGAGTGAAAGCTCCCCTCTTCAGGAAATTTTGGGCCATAAGAGATTAAAGGTTGAATTTAGTAAGTTAGAGATTTTATATTTATTGCTTTCATTCTTTATCGATATAACTGTTTTGTAGATCATAACGATTGTTTATTTTCTCTTTGTTGTTATATCAGTGTCCGGGGGAAAAGAAAAGTTGGATCGACTCATTTAACAAGGTTCTATGAATGGTTAGTGCAACGTCACATGTTTCTTCACAAGATTGTTGTACGTAAACTCATGTTTTATCTAATGTCATCTGTAATGCTTAAAATTAATAGTTTTAACTTTTGGGTAATTATATTCACACTGCAATTTTTACTTCTTGCACTATATTTTAATTGTACTTTAAAATACTTGATTTTTGCTCATTACAATATTTATGTCCTTAATGATTTTTCATGTCATTCTTAACCTCAAACATTAGTTAACATATTTTGTATTCGATAACAGTTTTATGTTCCAAAGTTCGTTGAAATAATGTAACACAACTTAATTTTCATCACATTTCAAACAATAAATAAAAAAAGTAAAAAATATTTTATTTCTTCATTTCAAAGCATGAAAATAAAATATTTTGATATAAATTATCATCAAGGATGAAACATACAAATTAATAGAAAATTGAAAATAAAATTTCGACGAAAAAGTTAAGAAAATAATTGTTACAGTGATAAAAAAAAATTAAGGAGTTTAAATGTAATTAAAATATGGTGGTGATAAAAATTTATATTTTACTATATTAAGTAAATTTCATTTAGCTTAAATTAATTAATAATAGACAACAAATTGAAAGTTTAACCACCTAAAAAGAAAAATTATATGTAATGTACAAGAATAAAATTTTTATTTTTCTAATTATTGAACCTTCGTTTGCTAAATAAAATAAACTCTCTTTACTACTCTTTAAAAAAATAATAATAACAACGGAGAAGAGGAGGGTGCAACCTCTGCCATTTCCTTTTAGAGTACATCATGATCTTAATTAGAACTCCTTTTAAGCACCAAATCGAAAGGGGACCTGAAGGAATTATCGATGCGAAGAGAAATATAATTACTAGTCCTTTTCATAAATATTGAGATTTTTTTTTTCATCTATTATTATATGTTATATTAGAATAATTTCTTTAATACGTATAAACATATTTTCGTATATTATTTATATATTGTATATTAGGGTTGATTCTTGTAATTGATTTTTCAAAAAATAAAAATAAAAATCTGATATTGTTTCCTTGATTCTTATTTTGAAGAATTTTTAGCATTTAAATTAAATAAAAATTTGGGTGACATTTTCTTTGACATATTTATATACATCTTAAAAATTGAAATTATTGGACATCATATTTCACTTTATAATAATATATTCTGTTGATATTAAAATTATTCTATTTGTATTTGTATGCACGTATTTTTGGTTAACGGAATATATCATGAGCTAATTTATCCAACAAAAAAAAAAAAAAACCTAGGTTTTATCATAATTATTTATTTATATATTCGAAATGCTATTACTTTTATGACGTCGTTAGTCCTGGGAGTTAAATTATATGTAATTTCATTATATACTTTACTTTGTTTGTGTTAATGCTGAGGCCATATATGACCCGAATCATAAATTGAAGAATATGCATCGTGTTGATTTTTGACCAAGTAAAAAATTCTGCATGATCTCCAATGTGTCTACAATGCTTCTACGGAGTTTTATTCAAATTTGACTTCTAGTTTATGAGATAAAATTCTATATTGTTAAGAAATTTCAGCAACCAAAAGGTTTTTAGCGAGTTGTTTTAAAAATAAAGAAAAAAAATTATTTTGATTTGACTTATTTATAATTTTTATTATGTCTCTCTGAAATGTTAGAGAGTGAAAGATTCGATGGCTTGTTTTTCGTGTGTAGCTATTTTTAGTATTGGGATTTGTTTCTTGATTTTCGAATTGTTACTCGGTGAGCCAACACTGAGTCTGAAACTAGTGAAAAATAATTCTTTCATTGCTAGTTTCTCCATTTAGTCACGTTATGCAATTTTGAAGTGTTCAAGAGTTTTCTATGGAAAACAGAAAAAGTGAAGTTACTCTTCGTTGACTTGACCTTCTTATATTTATAGAGTTTATTTAAGAATATATCTACGTGACTAAAAGATAGTATGTTTGCTTCAGCCAACAAGACAGTTGAGGCTTTGATCCACTTAACCTACCTTCGTAGTTCTTCTAAAGATGAGTCATCGAAAAGAATCCTCCCTCGTAAAAGAGACATGTAATCTAACCTTATGGACATGGCTTTCGACGAGATACTCTGATTCTAGCAAAGTGCTCGTGGTTATGTGGGGTTCTCACATGGTTCATGTGATGTGGTAACTACTCCCCTACTTGTCGCCCCCAGGGCACATCTCCAAGTGGTAAAAAGGGAGAGTGGAGAAATCCAGTTTTGCTTGAGGCTGCTGCGTCAAGGGTTCGAATCCTGAAATATGGATTTGACACTTGAATAAGTGCAAGTGTACAAGCAGCCTTCCACCATGTACCCTTGGAAGCAGAACCTGCGATTTACCTCCCTCACGATACTTTAGGGCAGGGGCGGTGGGGGACCCTTAAGGTTGGGGTTCAACCTTTTTACTCCCCTACTTGCCGTCCTTATTCTTACGCATGGCGAGAGTTAACAAATTCAATAATTATTGTTACATTTAATTGGCCAAACTATCTAATATAAAAATTTAAATCCACATGTTAGAAACATATTTTTTTTATATAATAATTTTAACATGTCCTCTCACGTACAAATTGGATTCATTTTTTCATTTTACGACTAACAGGTAAAAATTTAAAAATGAGTGATTTCATAACTTGAATTGAACATCTTAGCTTGCTAAGATATCAAGTCAAAATTACCTCAACGTCAATTTTTACTTTGTTTCTCCCACATAGTGTTTCTTTTCCTTTTCCTATTTAAAAGAATAATGTTATTCATAGTGAAAATTATTGATATTCGACTTACATGACATACACATAGCAGTTTGTCATTTGATATATTAATATGGTAGCATACACATAACAATTTTTTACTGTCTTACATCAAACAACAAACTTATCATATATATACCATGTAGGGCGACTACCTAGATTTTCAAGGGTTCAAGTGTTAGTCTAAACATTACGGTATAAAGAAAACGTCATTCTCAAGTTTTGTTTGAGAATTTTAGCAATTATTTCATGTCAGCCAAAAATTTTAATTGTCCCTCGTTTGGCCTCCATTTTCTGGAAATGAGAATTAGTGGAATAGTGTTTTTTTGAAAAATGAGTGGTTGAAAAAAAAAAAATTTCGATTTACGTATAATATTATTTTATAAAAGATTATGTAATTAAAAATTGGAAAAAAAAATGAAATGAGATTCGAACATGGGCTAAGCCATTGGCTGGTCATTACCCAACAAGGGTATGGAGCCACAGCCCTTAGTTGATTAACTGAACTTACCAGCCTTATTCTTTTAAAAATATATTTTTTTTTTTTTTATACAATATTTTGATATCATTTTAGTCACATATTTTCAATAAAATAATATTACACACAAATTCAAAATTTATTTTTATTTTTTAACCACATATTTTTCATTAATACACTATTTAAAATTACAATATTATAAAAAAAAAATGGGGCTCAAAGAAAGACTTAAGGTTATAACCGTCAATTTCTCACACATACTCGTCTCTCTCGAGCTATTCGATTTTTTCAAATTCCAAATTCATTCAATCATTTTCTCAGAATTCCACCTATATCCCCTTCCCAGCCTCTCCTTAACAATGTCCACTCTATCTAGTGTTTCCTCCCAACCAAACCAGAATCCAAACCCTAATTTTCCCTCGCCGATGCTCGAACCGTACCTCGAACAGCAGCAAGAAATGCATCCTGACCCGCCCGATTATGAACCCCAAAACGATGACGTATTCTATTCTGATGACAACAACAATCCTCCCCGGAGTTTCGTTTTCCCGGACCCTGACCCAGACCCAGACCTGAATTTGGTTTCTCGGTCAACTCCCAAGCTCCTTCATGTGTCGTTTAACCAAGACTACGGCTGCTTCGCTATGGGCACTGACCAGGGGTTTCGAATCTATAACTGCGACCCGTTTCGTGAGATTTTCCGTCGGGATTTCGACTGTAATGGTGGCATCGGCACTGTGGAGATGCTTTTCCGGTGTAACATCCTGGCCCTTGTCGGCGGTGGTGAAACCCCTCAGTATCCACTAAACAAGGTCATGATCTGGGACGATCACCAGAGTCGCTGCATCGGGGAGCTCTCCTTCCGGTCGGAGGTCCGCGGGGTCCGGTTGCGAAGGGACCGTATTGTCGTGGTCCTCGAGCAGAAAATTTTCGTGTACAATTTTGCAGATTTGAAGCTGTTGCAACAAATTGAGACCATTGCCAACCCTAAGGGCCTTTGCGCGGTTTCACAGGTGGCCGGGTCTTTTGTCTTGGTTTGCCCTGGGTTGCAGAAGGGCCAGGTTAGGGTGGAGCATTACACGTCCAAGAGGTCCAAGTTTATTTTGGCTCATGATTCGAGGATCGCATGCTTTACGCTGTCACTGGACGGGAATTTGCTTGCCACTGCTAGTAGCAAGGGGACTCTGGTTCGGATTTTTAATACAGATGATGGCACTTTGTTGCAGGAGGTAAGAAATTGTTTGCAATTCTACTGCCTTGGGTACAAACTACTTCTTTTTAAGCTTCGAGCTCTTTTTATGGCCTAATTACATTTGAAAAGAAATGAATGACTGAATTGAGGAAGAAATTGATAAATTCCGTTTTTAGGAAACAGGAGGTAAAAACTTGACTGCTTCTTAGAGGAGCCGAAATTGCATCCCTGTTAATATTGAATTAGTTCATATATTTTTCTTTTTCCAGCATAAACAAAGTACTAGCTGTTTTTGTCTTACCTTAATGGATACTGCCTCGAAAACTGAGGGAAGGATGAGTGTTAACAACAAAAAACTCATAAAGGAATAACTGCGAACTCAAACCCCAATTATGCAAACCATATTAAGACAGTTAAATGATATACGAACCTTTGGAGGCAGGAGTGAGCATTTATAAGTGCAAGGACTTGCAATAAAAAATGTTAAAACTGTTTTCATTAAGTCATTCCACATTCACAAAAACCGTTATCAAAGCCACATGAATAAGAGTATAAAGCTTGACTTTACAATCAATGAATGAAGGACATATGAGTTAATGAATAAAACGTGAATCGTTAACAGATCCAATTGCAAGTTAACCAATCAATGGCTGCCACGTATCACCAACAAAAGGACCCATTTAACCCACGGCCTATCTAAAAATCTATAAACAGGTATGGCCAAGAAAGGATTGAAAAAAAAAGAAAAAGGGAGCCGAATTTGAATATCTTCATCCCAAATGTCATTTTTCTTCTTTCTCTTTATTGACTACCAGAATAAAGAGTTTAGGAGGAAAAACCCTGGCTAGGTGAGAGAAATTTGTTTATTACTATTTAGAGGTCAATAAAGAGAATGTTTGTTTTGGTTTAAAAGGTCTAGAAGATCCGTACTTGGAGAGTACTCTGCTGCGGGTTTTTCATGTCGAGGGGAGGTTGAATTGTTTGGATGCACATGAGTTCTTCATAATTATCCTGAGGAGTTCATAATACTGTGGTAATTGACTGTTAGTTTTAGCATGTCAAGGAATTCAGGGTGTATTTGATGTAGAAAGACTCATTATGATTGAAGTGCCTGATTCTGATCATTCAAGATGCAGAAGTGGAGACAAGTTTACAATTATGTCTTACGAAATGATTTGGGTTTTGTCCTGTTTTGTATATCCTGTTTCTTGCTTCAACAGCAACGACACTTCACTAAGTTTTCCAAAAAGTGCAGATGGAGTGTATCACTTGGTTTAGTGAATGTTGTGATAATTTCATTAAATGAAAACCAATTTGTTTTGTATGAAAGATGACTGCTGGTTTATCCTAATTTGGAGAGGCAGATGATATAAGAATGGATGCAGTGTGTTGATGCTATCTGTTATTTCTCTTTCATTGTCATTCCCTCCAGTCGGTCTATCAGATGTTGAATTTGAACTTATAACTGGTGTTACTTTTTCATTTTTACTGACATAGATTGTACTGTTACTCGTTTTGTATCATTGAAGAGTTCTTGTTCTTGGTCTCTAATTATTTATTGTGACCCATAGATGAACGCGTGGTTGTACAAATTAGGGAAAAGAATCCATTTCTGTGTTTTGGCAGTTTTTCTTTTCATCATCTTTACTATAGGATATTGAGTCCTTCATCAACTTGTTGATAAATTAATTTGTTCTGCATTGTGCTTGTAATCATATGTGTCAGTGCCTTCCCGATAATTGTGAAGCTGAAAATGTTCTTTCAAATGCATTTATGCTCAATCAACTTGGAAATTTGATGCAGGTAAGAAGGGGTGCAGATAGAGCAGAAATATATAGCCTGGCAATCTCGCCCACTGCCGAGTGGTTAGCAGTCTCAAGTGATAAGGGTACCGTTCATGTTTTTAACCTCAAGGTTAGTTTAGGAAACCTTGGAAGTGATAGCTCCGATAGTCTGCCTGATCGAAATCTTGCTGCAACCACATCTAGTTCTTCTCTCTCGTTCATCAAAGGTATTCTATTTCTTAGACTTGGACTGAAAGTTGTACTCCTCTTAATTAACAATTTAACATTATTACACACTGCATTATTTTCTTCATGGACGAGCGACAAGTGGAAAATTTGTGAAAGGTGACAAATATCTGATTAATAGGAGAACTCACAAGATCAGTTTACATTCTCCTACTGTATTGACATCAGAAGAAAATTGAGAGACAGCAGAAGAAAATTGAGAGACAGTGATCAATGAGTAATAGAAATTTTTTATAANTGTATTGACATCAGAAGAAAATTGAGAGACAGCAGAAGAAAATTGAGAGACAGTGATCAATGAGTAATAGAAATTTTTTATAAATCTACTGCATGTGAAGGAAGAAGTCTGATAAAACTGCATATAAAGGAAAAGAACATACTTTGTTGAAAATGAGCACTGTATTAAGCTGTTATTTCATCCATGAATCTGCAAGAAAACCTGGCTTGTCTGAAGTCAATTTAGTGTAAAAAGGAGTTATTTGTCATCTGAATTGGATTGTCTCTAGCACATGAAAACCTCATCTTGGTGTTATTTCCTTGTTTTCCTTTCTTTTATTTTCTTTTTTTAAATAAATAAATAAAACACTGCTGCTATTCTGCTTTTTGCTATTTATTTTTCAGAATAAGCGAAGGCAAGTTTTATTAGCATAAAAACTAACTTCTAAAATTATGTTTGGCAAAATAATTAAATTAGAAGTAAGATTGACTCACTTTTAAGCACTTCCTATTTTTCCATTTTTTATAAGGTCCCATCAAAGAAATAACAAACCCTCTGACGTACTTTAGGATTTTCAATTAGTTCTGCACTGCTGCCATGGTTCATGAGGGTGTGCATGCACATGTCTATGATGTATATTTCCCTTTCCCCTAGGGGGAACAGTTTGCATTGATAGGGTATGCAGTGGCCATCACTATCATTTTTTTAGTTCTCATTGGCCTCTGTTACTAAACCAGATTACCATTTTGGCAGGAGTGCTGCCCAAGTATTTCAACTCTGAATGGTCAGTTGCTCAGTTTCGTTTGCTTGAAGGTGCTCGATATATTGTTGCATTTGGTCATCAAAAGAATACAGTAGTAATTCTTGGGTTGGACGGAAGGTCAGTTAACATCTGCTTTTATTGATG